TCCACATGTTCATATTTAACCAATGATATTCATAGATGTCTATAGAACACAATTTCCACATGTTCATTTTTAACCAATGATATTCATAGATGTCTATAGAACACAGTTTCCACATGTTCATATTTAACCAATGATATTCATAGATGTCTATAGAACACTGTTTCCACATGTTCATATTTAACCAATGATATTCATAGATGTCTATAGAACACAGTTTCCACATGTTCATATTTAACCAATGATATTCATAGATGTCTATAGAACACAGTTTCCACATGTTCATATTTAACCAATGATATTCATATATGTCTATAGAACACAGTTTCCACATGTTCATATTTAACCAATGATATTCATAGAAGTCTATAGAACACTGTTTCCACATGTTCACTTTTAACCAATGATATTCATAGAAGTCTATAGAAGTTATATAAATGTAAATACTGTTATAATGGGTCAATGCTCTACAGAACAGCAAATCAGGATACAGTACATCATCATATCCTTATCAGTATCAATAATTAGTCACTACAGTCATTAACTATATCATAAATAGTTATAAATTACAGTAATATCTATTGGTAAAGGTCAATGATCCACAATGGGAGATAATAGGGTATTATTAGAACTGATCGGTTCAATTCTCTTACAGAAAATTGTTGTTATAAATAACAGCCATCCCTTGCAAAGCATGATACATTGCTGAACAAAAAAAAACACACAAAAAAAACTAGAAAACTGACATGCCAGGAAGGCAGAGAAAAAAACAATTAGCAATACATGTTAAAGAAGCATCAATTTTTAACAAATTTGACACCAGGAAATAATTCAGGATAAATAGCAAGTTTCATTGAAATCTGAGATCTATAATTTTTTTATATGTTTTGTCAGCTGATCATGCTGATAGACAATTTTTGTTACAGGGAAACAATTTAGAATAACATACTATACCTAAGTATCAATTTTCATTGAAATCCAAGTACAAAAAGATGTGATTTTTTGACAAAAACTAAGTTTATACATGTGTGTATTGCAAACTTGATACCAGGAAAAATTACAATCCAAGCACAGTAAGATGATTCTCAAACTTTGCAATTTTTTTAACACAAACCAAGTTTTTTCCACATATAGGTTTCCAAATTCACCCCAAAAAAATCACCAGGAAAATATTGGAACATGTATCTTTCAAAAATGCTTCTCAAAATTCATGACTGTTTTTAGCAAAAAATAAGTTTTTGCTGCAATTAACATTCATTTCCCTTGGCTTTAGGGAGACATGAAGATTTGTTCCATCTCATTAAATGGGCAAAAACTCTAATAAAGATTTATTTCTAGATCTTGTCTTGCTGATTATTTTTTTTTTCTATTTAAAGTTTCTCTCACTACAAACTGCTCAGAGTCTGAAAAGACCATATTTTGTGCTCGACCACAAAAGTCGAGCACAGATTTTACTCGACTAGACTCGACATTATCTCGACAGTACTTAACTGTACTCAACTTTGGTCTCGACTTTACTTAATAAGTCTGAATCAGTACTTTATTATCTTGGAGTAGTCTGAAATGGTCTCAACCAAGGCTCGACCAGTCTCGACCTGTCTCAATCAGTCTCAACCAGTCTCGACCTGTTTTGACCTGTCTCGACTAGTCTTGACCTTCAAATTTAGTCTTGACTAGTCTGAATCAGCCCATCTAACTAAATTAAGTATTGATCTTACAAAATTCCAGGTTATTTGGTAGTTTGGTTCATTGCTGTGAAATTAAAGAATTTAGTTAATAGGTAAAAAAAAGAAAGAATTTTCAGATTTGATTAAATTCAGATAGTCATCTTTAATTATCTCTATAACTTTTTCAAATCAACTTGGATTATCATAAAACTCTACAGCTATCTCAATTATACATTGATCTTACAGAATGCCAGGTTGTTTGGTAGTTTGATTTATTGCTGTCAAATTTGAGGATTTAATTAACAGGTAAAAAAAGCTAGAATTTTCAGTTGGAACTAAATTCAGATAGTCATCTTTAAATTTTTTTATAACTATTTCAAAGCAACTTGGATTTTCATCAAAATCTACAGCTATCTCCATTATATATTTATCTTACAAAATACAAGGTTATTTGGTAATTTGGTTTATTGCTGTCAAATTTAAATATTTAAATTATAGGTTTGAAAATCCAAGTTGATTTGAAAAAGTTATAGAAATAATTAAAGATGACTATCTGAATTTAATCAAAACTGAAAATTCTTGCTTTTTTTTACCTATTAATTAAATTCTTTAATTTCACAGCGATGAACCAGACTACCAAATAACCTGGAATTTTGTAAGATCAATATTTAATTTAGTTAGATTGGCTGATTCAGACTAGTCAAGACTAAATTTGAAGGTCAAGACTAGTCAAGACAGGTCGAGACAGGTCGAGACTGGTCGAGCCTTGGTCGAGACCATATCAGATTACACCAAGATTATAAAGTACTGAATCAGACTTATTAAGTAAAGTCAAGTACAGTTAAGTACAGTTAAGTACTGTCGAGATAATGTTGAGTCTAGTCTAGTAAAATCTGTGCGACTTTACTGGTTGAGCACAAAATATAGTCTTTTCAGACTCTGAGCAGTTTGTAGTGTCTCTATCTATTATACTTTTCAAAATAATAAGCAACATGAAAAAAATATTAAATTTTGTTATTTAAGGGCAATTTCGCCTGAAAGAAGTCGTCTGACAGTTTAGACGTAATTAAACAATAGGTAAATCTCAACATTCTGAACATTTCTGCCCCTGTCAGTGTTTTCTTTATTTTGTGGTTTTCAAAATAATAGACAAAATTTTTTTTATGTTCCATTTTAAGCCATGTTGGCCATTTTGTTTGGCAGGCGGGGTCATCAGACACATATTTTAAACTAGATACCCCAATGATGATTGTGGCCAAGTTTGGTTAAATTTGGCCCAGTAGTTTCAGAGGAAAAGATTCTAGTAAAAGTTAACAAACAATGATGCTAGATGCCTAGTGATGAGATAAGCTCACTTGGCCCTTTGGGCCAGGCGAGCTAAAAACTGATGCTTAGCTGATTGTTAATTTCATTAAAGGCTTTTCAGAAATTCAAAGCTGTTTAAGTCATCATTACTCATTATCATAAATAGGATTAAAGGTTATCAAAGCTGGAAAAGGGAACATTATAAAACACTACGTGTGAGACAAGTCTATTTGCATGTTTATTCAGTAAGGTATGTCGCTTACTAAATGTTGCATTCATTGTGCAATTTTCTGCTTCAAAATATAACACATTGTAGGTTTTTTGCATTGTTTGTAAACCAGAATGAAAATAATTTTATGCCATTGTTTGGATATATATCTATTGTTTCAGTCATTGTTGACCAATCACAAATTTTGGTTGTACGCTTTTGAAAATTACAAAACTGTTTCCTTCTCGTATGATTAATTTGAAAAAGACTTTTAATTTTTATCTTTCAAAATTGTGGAATAAACAGTGAAATGACAAGTATATATACAAGCAATTATGATTTCCATTCTGTATCATACTTCAACTTTAACTATTTAACCCATTCATAACAAAACATACACATATGCTTATTTTGTAGCTGTCTCATTGATGCTAACCTAATTTTATTTGTTCAGGTTGAATTTTATATGAATAAGAATAAGAATAAGAATATTTATTGAATCCAATTAAAGGGCCCGTTTCCGAGCATATACACATATATATAGTATTAATTATACAGTAATTTTTAAGATATATTACATTTAAAATAAATGTATTCTTTTTGTCAAAACATATATATGTTTACAAAAAAAATATTGAATTTCATCTGAAAATTTTTTTTTTTAAAATTTGATCAATATTTTTTTTCCTTTTGTTTTTATATCAATGTTATTTATCTTGTGGGAGATATTCATTTAAGATTTTTGTAGCATCCATCAGACTACGTACTTATTAGCATGAATCATGACATCAAATTAATTAATATTTATAACAATTATTGGAATTAAGCAAAATAGATTCAGGTTTTTATACAGTTTCATGGTCATTGAACTGGTCACATTAAAATAAAAAAACAAAAAACACTCACTGAAAAATGAAATAAAATATGTGAAAAATACCTTTCAAGTAATCCTACATAAAATAAAGTGGTAAGGTCAATTTCCTCTAAACTTATTCCACACATGCAATTTTCTGAAAGTCCTAACATGTGGTTTTACATGTACTTAAATTCCCATTACCCATTGTTATGAATTTAGATGCCTAAAACTGCAATTTTCATAAATTTGGGTAATAGATTAGTATATAATGATCCAAAAATGTATAAGTGGGAAATTCTTAACCAAAAGCAAAACCTAGAAATAATTTCATATATTTTCCTCTTAAAAAATAATCAATTTCTGAATCAGTTAAAAGTGTCCTGCAATGCAAAATTTTACAAAAAATTGTTGCGATATTTTCTTAAAAAGACCAATATGTAGTGTTGAATAACATTTTGATTTTATAATACTCTGCTGAATTTCATCTTAAAGTATATTATAAAGACTCTATAGTATTAGAATTTCAGTATGTTTTAAGTAACAATATCCTGATTATGACAATGTGAATGAGACAAATACAGGGGAGGTTTATAAATTCAGCTTTATTTTATGTTTTCCCATAATGAAGAAAACTCTTGATTTCAATATAAAATTACCCAGATTCAGATTCAATATTTTATTAAAGTCTCACCACTTGTAAAACATATAATACAATCATCATAATATATATTATATTGCATAAAACAGCAATTTTATAAGTTAAAATACAAGTGCATTCTATACAGAATAATCTGTTAACACACAGATATGTCTTGCCTGGTAACTTACTCATTTTTAAGATGGTGTAAAAATAGCTTAATTCATAAGGTAACATATATGATTTTAATTACATTGTATTTTATTCTTAATTAAAATTGTTTATTTCTTTACAACAATAACTTGCCAAGTGTATTGTCTTGACCCAAACATATGTTTTCTTTTGATTAGTCCCACCAAAATATGTTTTATTAATAAGATGGTCAATGGAACAGGTGGCGTACTTTAAATTATTATAAAAAAAAACATGACAAGAGTGTATTTGGTATCTATTTTCACATGTATTGTAATTAGAGTGATTACCAGTTCTATTTTTAGAAAGTTTTTCTCTGAAAAGTATTCATGTCATGTCATGTTTCAACAGTTCAGTTAGAAATTTACTATTTTTAAAACTTATTACTTGGAAGGAATTCTTACAAAATGTTTTGTTTGTCCCAGTTCGTGTTATGACACCTTTGAGTACAAATCAATAGATTAAAAAATATTTCCTTATTTTACACAGGGAACATCTCCATTAAAGGTAAAAGTTTCTGTTTGTTTATAATATTATTATTGATATTACTCTATTATTTCTTTGAGACATATAATACTACTTGCTGTAGAAAAAAAAAACAATAAGATTTTTCACTAAAGTGAATCCATATTTAAATTAATTGTTTCAGTGTCATAAATACAAAACCTTTCCTTTGACTTTTATAATTCTTTACAATCACTTTCATTTTATTCAACCCTTGTCCCTACAATTTCAATACATATATTTCATGGAGATAATAAATAAACTAGAAATATTAAGCATTAAAACAAAATAAAAAAAAATCATTTGAATTACTTTTAAAACAGTTTCTTGTTTCAAATGAACAATTTCTGAGTATGTTGTAATTGAAAATAATTTCAGACATTTCCGGTAAAAACAAGGTCTTTCACAAAAAATAATCATATATTTCACAATAATCAATACCAGTCATTTTCAATTTGAGAGAATCTATTTGTTTCACAGGAAAAAGTTCAACAGGACACTTATTAGCAATCTAATATATCTATTTAGAAATTATCATAAACTATCAACCCTTATTGTGATTTGTCAATATAGATTCCCAACAAAACATCTACAAGACAATAGGTGTGACTACACTGGCAGCAAATCAACAGATACGACACATCTTAATTCAGTCGACTGAAGCTCAGATCGGTTTATCAGAAATAATTGCACAAATAGATTTGCTAAGAAAGAGATATCTAAATCTGATTTACATTACTTGCATGAAGTAATTTATGACTTGGAATATTTCTAAGATATACAAGACAATTTTGTTTCTTTTTTTTTCTTCAGAAAAATTACAAGTGGATTATCTGACAATTTCTAAACAGATTCTATACAACTAAACACTACATATTTGGATAACCAAATAAACTTTTAAAAGGACATAGTGATATTGCAGATAAGTGTGATTTATACAGATAATTTTTTTAATATAGCAACAGGAAGTATGAGATTTTAAAGTGAAACAGGAACTTTTCTAAACTCCTGAATTATCTTAATGTATATCTAGGAGTGAAAAAAATATGTAAACATATCTTTTTGTATAAGAGATAGATCAAGTCGACACTGGGAAAAAATACTTTAGTTTCATCACTTAATAAAATTTTGTGCAGGATGTCTGACAGATTATCCACAGCTGAGGAAACAAGATAATTAAAATGACACGATATCCAGCCACACCAAACACTGATGGATTCTAATCAAAGGAAAAACTTTAATGGAGTGTTGTCACACAACAGAATCTGAATATCTAAGACTTTGACAAAATGATGAACTGTTCGTCAGTTACAAACTGTGATACTGAAGAGGAATATAGACATCTTCCTACAATTGTTTTTCTGGCAATTATTATGCTATTTTTCATATTCTTTTCTGTTTTTGGCAATATTCTGGTTGTTTTGGCAGTGTTAAAAACACCATCTTTAAGAGAGGAAAAGTCAAACTATTTAGTTATCAATCTGGCAGTAACGGACATGTTAAATGGATCCACCGTCATGTTTTCCACGTTTGTTGCTCTAACGACAGATACTCGTACTGTTCCCTATTCTCTATGTAATCTAATGTGTGCTGCAAACTATTGTTTTATCATATCATCAATGATGACATTGTGTTTCATCAGTGTAGACCGTCTATATGCTGTGGTTTTTCCGTTAAAATATTTAGATCTTATAACAGGCAAGACTTTAGCAATACTTATAGCCGAATCTTGGATACAAGGAATAATATTCTCAATGGTACCAATAATAGAAGATTGGATAGAGTATGACTACTATGAAATAACTTGTGCCATACAGTGGCACAAAAAAGGAGATGATGCAATTTACTATGTTGTTGTAGCATTTATTGTGTGTTTTTTAGGACCAGGCCTTGTACTTGGATTTAATTATATAAAAATATTAAGAGAAGCAAAAAAGAAAATGAAAATATGGGCAGTCACCTTACAGACATCAAAAAATAACTCAGTGAAGAAGAAAGTTAAGAAAGAAAGTGCCAGTGCTAAAACTGTAAGGAGTTTATTAATTGTAGTCTGTGCTTATTTCATATGTATGACTCCATTCAGTGTAACAAAACTGATCAAAGTATCATCTTCAAGAGATATTGTATCAGGCCCAGTCAATTCAACAGCAAGCTTGTTTGCCTTCGCCTCTAGTGTTGTAAATCCGATGATCTATGGGATATTTAGACGAGATTTCAGAAGAGCTTTCCAACTCATTATACGCAAAAGACAGTCTGAAAATAGTGTAAATAGACCATGTAGGACTTCACTTGCAATAGATCAATCAACCACTACATGATAAATTATGTTTTTATTGTACATGTATCTAGCATTCTGTGATTGTCAATATATTTTACCAGTAAAATCCAATTAAAAAAAAAAAAAATAAATTGTGATAATTTAGAAAATTTCATTTAAAATACTGTTTGTCATATACTACAACACCAAATTTAACAATTATTCATATTAATTTTCATATTGACAAAACCCTTAAGTTTCATTTTTCATAGATGCCTATTAATTCAAATGTCCATGATTTTATTATTTGCCCTTTTTGCTATTTTGCCTCTTTTTTTGGAGGTTTGCCTGTCATACAAAAATACTATGAATAATGAATCACATTTTTTGTGTGTCTTGTTAGGACACAAATCCTCTTCCCACCTTTAATAATGACTTTCTATATTCAGTCTGTGGGCATTTCCTCTATTTCTTATCCACAACCATTTGAGCCCCCAAAATACAATAAAACCCTTTTTGAAAACAAATTGAAAGATCTTATTATAGCCATAAAAGAGAAGCAACAATCTGATGAAAAATGGGACATTCAAAACCATTAGTTGAAAATAAACTGACAATGTCATGGCAAAAAACGAAAAAAGACCAAAAGACCAAAAGACATACAACAGTATACAAAACACAACATTGAAACTATAGACTGAGCAACACAAATCCCTTCCAATTCAAACACCAAGGAAGATATTATCATTCTCAGGTGCTCCCGAAGGGTCGGCAGGTCCTGCTCCACATGTGGCACCCATAATTATGTAAAATATATAGGTCAAGTCCAATGGCTAATGGGTAGAAAAATGCTGTATAAATTTACCATAGAAATGTTTGATACCATAATCAGCAAGTTCAATCATGGACATTACACAGGATAGTGTCTTTTTGGACTGTTCATAATGTTTGCTGTGTGAAAGATACTGAGAAGTACAGTGTCAATATTAGAGTGAAGGAAGGAATGATTTCTTTTTCAGCAGGTAGTTTGAGCTTGCTTTCAGCAATTGCAAGGATTCTGTGATTTGATATTTATAGGTATTGCGTTAGAGAATACAGTGTCTTTTTCTTTACAGAACTTTGTAAGTTCTTCTTAAACATTTTGATATTCACTGATGTAGATTAAAAGAGGGAGGGTTGTGTGCTTGAAAAAAACTAGTTTACCCAATGCATGCTCATACACCTGTCCAAAGTCATGAACCTTATTGTCAGTGATTGTTTTAAGATATGTATAAATTTGGGTTGATGGCAGATCTTTGATAGACTGTGTTAAATCTATTCACAGTTTTTTAAGACTCAGCCGGCAATTTAGAGTTTGACATATTTTATAGACACTTGTCTATTGTTTAAGACTACAATATTGAACTTTAGATGACTTGTTTCTTGTGTCGGTTGGTTGCTATTTTATTGACATATGCCCATACATCTCCTTTCATTCACATCAAAAATAGAAATTGATGAATACTGTTTTGGAATCAATATAAAATATATATTCAATAAAATCACCTTCAAATCTTCAGAAAATAAAAAAGGAACAGCATTTCAATGTCCCCCACTGGTGCACATATTTAACCTGTCTAGGAGCAATAACTCAAATTTTTTTGTTTTTTTGTTCTTTTAAACTTTTTCAAGAAATCCTACAAGAAATATAGGCATGAGACAGCAATGCATTTTTCTCCTGTATAATAATTATTTCCAAGGGGCATTAACTCATGTTATAATAGTTGATCAGCACTGATAATCAAACTAGTCAAAGACCTTAATGATATACATTTCATAAAAATTTAACAAGAAAATGTAGGCTTGAGAGTGCTTGTGTTAGGTTGCTTAAAATATTTTTATAAAAATTTTGCAAGAATTGTATGTGTGAGAGCGCTAACATGACCAGACACATGGTATTGCTATTCCCCAACAACAGTGTAGCTGTTGGGGGGACAATAAGCAGATGATGGCAATTTAAATCTAAAACTTTTATAATGATTTTCCTGATATCTGAGTGCATTCTATACAATACAACAAGGATGTAACAACAAGTCACCATACACAACTTTCAACAGTAAGTAGAACACATACAGAATAGTAAGCTCCATTGGGTGTTGATGTCAGACCTTTGAGAACACATACAGAATAGTTAGCTCCATTAGGTGTTGATGTCAGACCTTTGAGAACATATACAGAATAGTAAGCTCCATTGGGTGTTGATGTCAGACCTTTGAGAATATATACAGAATAGTAAGCTACATTGGGTGTTAATTTCAGACCTTTGAGAACACATACAGAATAGTAAGCTACATTGGGTGTTGATGTCAGACCTTTGAGAACAGATACAGAATAGTAAGCTCCATTGGGTGTTGATGTCAGACCTTTGAGAACACATACAGAATAGTAAGTTCCATTGGGTGTTGATGTCAGACCTTTGAGAACATATACATAATAGTAAGCTCCATTGGGTGTTGATGTCAGACCTTTTAGAACAGATACAGAATAGTAAGGTCCAATGGGGGTTGATGTCAGACCTTTGAGAACACATACAAAATAGTAAGCTCCATTGGGTGTTGATGTCAGACCTTTGAGAACACATACAGAATAGTAAGGTCCATTGGGTGTTGATGTCAGACCTTTGAGAACACATACAGAATAGTAAGCTCCATTGTGTGTTGATGTCAGACCTTTGAGAACAGATACAGAATAGTAAGGTCCAATGGGGGTTGATGTCAGACCTTTGAGAACACATACAGAATAGTAAGCTATATTTGGTGTTGATGCCAGACCTTTAAGAACACATACAGAATAGTAAGCTATATTGGGTGTTGATGTCAGACCTTTGAGAACACATACAGAATAGTAAGCTCCATTGGGTGTTGATGTCAGACCTTTGAGAACACATACAGAATAGTAAGCTATATTGGGTGTTGATGTCAGACCTTTGAGAACACATACAGAGAAGTAAGCTCCATTGGATGTTGATGTCAGACCTTTGAGAACACATACAGAATGGTAAGCTACAATGGGTGTTGATGTCAGACCTTTGAGAACACATACAGAATAGTAAGCTCCATTGGGTGTTGATGTCAGACCTTTGAGAACACATACAGAATAGTAAGCTCCATTGGGTGTTGATGTCAGACCTTTGAGAACACATACAGAATAGTAAGCTCCATTGGGTGTTGATGTCAGACCTTTGAGAACAGATACAGAATAGTAAGGTCCAATGGGGGTTGATGTCAGACCTTTGAGAACACTTACAGAATAGTAAGCTACATTGGATGTTGATGTCAGACCTTTGAGAACACATACAGAATAGTAAGTTCCATTGGGTGTTGATGTCAGACCTTTGAGAACACATACAGAATAGTAAGCTCCATTGGGTGTTGATGTCAGACCTTTGAGAACACATACATAATAGTAAGCTCCATTGAGTGTTGATGTCAGACCTTTGAGAACAATTACAGAATAGTAAGCTACATTGGTTGTTGATGTCAGACCTTTGAGAACACATACAGAATAGTAAGCTACAGTGGGTGTTGATGTCAGACCTTTTATAGATTTCCATTTAATATACTTTTTTTTAATCTATATAAGTATAAAAAAATCATATATTTTTATATATAAGAGGAAATTGCACATGTTCTGAATTCATGCAAAATTTATTTCCTATTAGTCCAAGAGATCAATTATCAATCTGACAAAAGAGCATAACATTTTCATTCCTATAGTCGTTATTAGTTCAGGATTATGTCACTTTATGATGATAAAAATCATATAATACAAATAATTCTTTCAATTCAATTGTATTCCAATATTCAGGAGCCTTAAAGCAGAAACTTCTATAATTTTATATGAGACTTTCAAAATTCTCTTTCAAATTTTCAATTAAAAAAAAATAACTTCAGCATTCACTTATTGAAGGAGTTTAACTTGAACACCTGGGGAAATCTGCAATAATAGAGAATCCTCAGGTATGTTCGATTGTTATATCAAAAGACATGTAAGAAATGCTGCAATAATAGTGAATCCTCAGGTAGGTTCTATTGTTATATCAAAAGACAGGACATGTTAGAAATGCTGCAATTTTATCCATTTTATCAGTTTGTTTTGTAAGAATAATCACAATATAAAATTTTGGATGCCATTCAAATTGCCCAGCACTGATGTTGAATGAGTCTCAAGCACACTTTAAAGGGGCACAGGATATGGTATAGATTTTGGCAAGGAAATGCCTGTGATCTTTGGAAAAAAATGATAAATAGAGACAATAATTTACGTTTTTTTAAAGGCAATAAATTCTCAAACTAGGGTCAACTCACTAGTCAAAAGAAAATGGTAAGGCACACAAAATGATGCATGTAAATGTAATTAAAACACATACAGAATATTTCAAACCTATCATGTTTAATTATCCACAAATCTAAATGAAAATCTGAAAAGTAGGTCATGGACATATGTCAGATGGGCATACACTCTTCTCAAAACAAAATAACCTATCAAAAAATATTGTTGGCCTATTATTCAAAGAAACTAAGGAACAGACCATTATTCAAAGAAACTGAGGAACAGACCTGATCCTGAAAACTCAACCTGATCACTGAAGCCTTAAATTGAAAGTCAAGGTTATAAGAGAAACCAATCCAAATATCAAATATTGTAGACATACAATGTAAGTTAATGAGGAATAAACCTCAAAATAAAAACTTAAATCTTTTAACACTTGTTCATGAAATTGAGGTCAATACCATATATATGGCATATGTCAGACGCACAAAATTATTATTTGCACATAAATTATCTCTGGCTCTGTATGGAAAACAAGATAAATGATCCTTATCGGAAATTTATCCAACAATGAATAAAGAATATATTAACTGAAAACTACTCACAATATACTTATTAACCTACAATAATTGCAGAATACAGTGTGAAACAAACTATGCATATAAATATGCGTTTTTATATATAAGTTGTACTATTTCTCTGAACCATTTCACACACAAAATGTGGTTGACCTGTCAGGTATAGTTATTAAGGAACAGAATATATCCTGAAAGCTTCAATATAATCTGGGACTATTATATTATGCCTCAGTTATAATATAATCTGACCATTGGAGCATAAAATAGAGGTC